ACCTTCTGAATTCTGCTCTGAATTCTAAATGTTCAGGAGATAAATGTAGCCCAGAGTCAGCCCCTGCTTTGGCCACTACCCAAAAATACACCAACATGTGGTTGCCTGAGCTATTGTAGTTTAACTATTTATGAATTTTGAGGACTTTTAATAGCTTAAATATTTAAATATCAGTACTTATTTAGAAATTGTTTCAATATATGTTTAATCAAATATGTTAATATAGATCTGTATGTATTGTATATAATATATATATATTTTGTTTAATATCGATAGTTTGTATTTGTAGTGATTCATTAAAAGAGTTTGAACTATATATAGATCTGCCTCTTTTTTTGCCTATCATGGGCAAGTTTCAGTTTTCTTGTGTACAGGATGATATTGACATTAACAATACCTTCCCTACCATCTTCAATATACCTTCAGGGATATTTTGAGGATCAAAGGAATTCAAGTGTCTTGACACTACTTTATATGATGAAAGATCCTATATAAATATAGTATTAATATATTGGATGACTTATCAAGAAAACAAATAACAAATGTTGGCAAGGGTATAGGAAAATGAAACTCTTGTACACTGTTGGTGGGAATATTTGTAAATTGGTATAGCCATCATGGAAAATTGAAGTTCTTCAAGAAATTAAAAATAGAACTACCATATGATTCAGCAATTCCTCTGTGAGCATAAACCCAAGGAAAATAAAATCAATATCTTGTAAAGATACCTGCAGCGTTATTCACAATAGCTAAGATATGCAAACAACCTAAGTGTCTATTGACGAATGCATCAACAAAGAAATTGTGGCTTATGTAAAAAATTTTTTTAATAAAATAAAATGCTTGCCTATGCATTTTGCTCATTTTCCCTCTATAATATGTACATCATTTTCTTGTTGACTAGTTTAGGAGTTCCTTAAATATTCTGGATTCTAATCCTTTTAATTTTTTATATATGTTGCTAATATTTTCTTCCAGTTTGTGACATCTTTGCTTCCTTTTTTGAAAGAGTCCTTTGATGCAGTTTTTCATTTTAATGTAGTTAAATATATTAATATTTTCTTTTTTTGAGACAGGGCCTCACTTTGTCACCTAGACTGGAATGCAAAGTCGTAATTACAGCTCACCGCAGCCTTGAACTTGGGGCTCCAGCAGTCCTCTCACCTCAACCTCCCTAGTAGCTGAGACTACAGGTGCACATGACCACATGCAGCTAAGTTTTTTTTTTATTGTTTTGTAGAGGTGGGGTCTCACCATGCTGACCAGGCTGGTATCAAACTTGTGAGCTCAAGCAATCCTCCTACCTTGGCCTCCCAAAATGCTGGAATTTCAGGCCTGAGCCATCGTTCACAGCCTAAAAGTATTTATCTTTTGTTTATAGTTAGTGCTTTTTGTGTTTTGAGGAATACATCCCACCTGGTGCAGTAGCTTACACCTATAATCCCAATTTTCTGGGAGGCTGAAGTTGGTGGATCGCTTGAGCCCAGGAGTTCAAGACCAGACTGGGCAGCATGGCGAGACCCCATCTCTACAAAAAGTACAAAAATTAGCTAGGTGTGGTGGCACATGCCTGTAGTCTCAGCTACTCTAGAGGCTGAGGTGGGAGGATCGCTTGAGCTTGGGTGGTTGAGGCTACAGTGAGCCATGATTGTATCACTGCACTCCAGCCTGGGTGACAAAGCAAGTCCCTGTCTCAAAAAATAAAAAAATAAAAAAGAAATACTTTACAATCCAAAGGTCCTAAAGGTGGTCTTCTGTATTTCCTTCATGTCTATTCTTTTTTTAATATGATTGCTATCTCAATTAAAAAATTTGAAATATACAAAAAATCACTAAAGTTTATACTTTAAAAGGGTGAATTTAAGGTATATGATTGCTATCTCAATTTGAAATAGCAACTATTCTGCAACTATTACCACTATCTAATTCCAGAACATTTACATCACCCCCCACCAAAGTAAACCTCATACCCATTAGCAATCACTTTCCATTATGAATATACCCCCATAGCCCTTGACAACCACTAAGTTACATTGCCTGAGTAGCAATAAATCTGCTTATTCTAGACATTTCATATACATTGAATAATACAATATGTGATCTCTTTTGACTGGCTTCTTCACTCAGCTTCTTTCATTTATTTTTTCAACTGATGTGTATATAACAACTGATGTGTGTTATATACACATCAGTTGACAGACATTGTTAAAGATAAAAATAAAAATGGGCCAGGTGTGGTGGCTGACACCTATAATCTCAGTATTTTGGGAGACTGAGGCGGGAGAATCACTTGAGCTCAGGAGTGAGCCCAAGACACCAGCCTGAGCAACATGGCAAAACCCTGTCTCTACAAAACATATAAAAATTAGCAAGGCATGGTGGCATGTGCCTGTAGTCCAAGCTACTCAGGAGGCAGAGGTTGCAGTGAGCTGAGACTGCACCACTGCATTCCAGCTGAGACAACAGAGCAAGACTCCATTAAAAAAAAAAAGTTTTCCCATGTTGACCAGGCTTGTCTCGAACTCCTGATCTCAAGTGATCTGCCCACCTTAGCCTCCCAGAGTGCATGAACCACTGCACTTGGCCTTTCTCTTTTCCTAATAGAAATATTTAGTGATATAAACTTCTGTTAATTATAGTTTCATTATAATCCATAGATTTTGATTCATAGAACTTTCACTCATTTACCTTTAAGTATTTTTATTACTTTCTATTATTTATTATTTCATCCATGTATTATATAGAAGTATTACACATTTCCAAACATTTAGTTTTTCATTTTATTTTTTTTAGTTATCTTTTTTAGAATTAATTTCTAACATAATTTTTGGTTAGGGAATATCAGCCATATGATACAAAATCTTTGGAGTCGTTTGAGACTTGCTTTATAGCTTTGTCTTTTTTTTTTTTTTTTTTAATACAGGGTGTCACTCTGTCACCCAGGCTGTAGTGCAGTGGCATGGTCACAGTTCACTGCAGCCTCAACCTCCTGGGCCTGTGATCCTCCTGCCTTAGCCTCCCAAGAAGCTGCAACCACAGGTGCATGCCACCACACCTGGCTTTTTTGTGATTTTTATAGAGACGAGGTCTTGCTATGTTCCTCAGGCTGGTCCTGAACTCCTGGGCTCAAGTGATCCTCTGCCTTGGTCTCCCAAAGTGTTAGAATTACAGGCCCACGTAGCTTTGTCATTCTTTATAAAAGTTTCATGAGTTCTGGAAGAAAGCATGTAATATATAAGAATTGAAGGTTTTATATACGTATATATATGGACAATTTTATATATATATATATAATTGGCCTTAGATCAAGTTTATTAGCTGTTATGTTTATTAGTTTTCTTGTCTTTCCTAAATTTTCATTTGCTTGAGCTACAAATAATTGAGCTAAACTTTCAGTGTAGTAGTGGATTTACCAGTTTCTTCAATGTCTGACTTACATATTTTGAAGGTATTTATTACACACAAAGGTTTGAATAATGTATTTTCCTGGTGACTGCAATTTTTATTATTTTGTAGTGACTCTTTTTGGTCAATGATAGTGCTTTTTGTTTGAAAGTCTAATTTGTCACTAATATCGGTATACCAGCTTTCTTTTTTTTTTGGCATTTATGTGGTGTATCTTTTCCATCATTTTATTTTCAACTCCTCATTATCCTTAAAGTTTTTGGTGCATCTCTTGTTAACGGCACTTTTTTTTTTTCCAATCAATCTCTGGTTTTTAAATTTTTTAAATTTGCGGGTAGGTGTCATCCAACAATCTCTGGCTTTTCATTAGGAAATGTATTTACTTTCATTGTTACTATTGATCTGTATGAATTTATTTCTATTCTGTTACTTTAGTGCTTTCTTTCCATCCTGTTGTTTATGCTGATTATGGTATTATGCTTTTGCTTAATGTGTATTTTCTTGTTAGTCCATTTTTTTCCTTCAGCTGGATTAGAAGTAATACACTTTCATGGTTATTCTTGAAACTTTACCTTACCTACTTATGTTAAACCTTGAATTATGTCAACTGTATTAATTGATATCTTAATTACAAAGAGAGACCTCAGAATTCTTTAACTTTTGTCATCCTCCTCTTGTCTTACATTTGTTGTCTGGTGTTATTTTGGGTAATGTTTGCTTAGATTCAACTATGTGTTTACAGTTTCTTTCGCTCATCACTTCTATTTCAGACTCTTCTTCTGAAGTAATTTTTCTTTCTGAAGCACATCCTTTAGAACATCCTTTAGAAAGTACAGGTAAATGTTAAACTCAGTTTCCATGTATCTGGAAATTATTTTATTTCTATACTTCCCTTTAATTCTTGAAAGATAATTTTGCTGAGTGCCCAATTCTAAGTTGATGGTTATTTTCTGTCAGCACTCTGAAAGTACAATTCTACTGTCTTTTTGACTTCCATTATTCTATTGAGGACTCTGTTATTGGTCTAACTGTCATTTGTTATTAAAATAACCCAGGATTTAACCCAACTCTGCCACTTTCTTGTTCTGTCATCTTGGCATGTCACTTCAATTACCTAGTCCTCAGTCCCTCATTGACCAAAGAGAGATGAGAACACCAACCTCACAGCTTTCTAATGAACATTAAGACAGATCACGTATATGAAAGCACTACACAAGTGCTTATTATTACCATAATTTGCTATTCTCTACATTATATTACCATCTTGTTCTTTTCTCCCTACCACCGGAAGTAGTCAGAATGGGGCAAAGGGTCATAGTAAGGAATTAATAGCCAAAGTTAGACATAAAAAGGCAAGGCTTCTTCTGGGAAGGTTAAGTTTCTGTAATAGGAATCTAAGATGTCAGATAGGAGTACAGCTTTTTCATATTCCATCGCTACCATCATTGCCTTACTTCAGCTTCTCATTATCTTTTGCTGGATATTTGCATCATTGGCATTTCTCCCTTCAGGCTCTTAAGCCTCTTATTCACCCTCCTCATACTACCAAAGCCTTCATTCTAAAATGCAAATATGATTACTTCCTTGATTAATACCTTATGGCAAATTCCAGATTTGGTTAAGTTCCTAGTCTGTGTGTTCCGCAAAACATTCTCTGTCGCAAAAGCAGCAGTGTTGAGATTACCAGACAGTGGTGTTAACATCAGACCACCCGGGTTCACATCCCAGTCTTCTAGTTAAAATTGTGTGAATCTGTAGCAAATTGTTTAACACAGGAAGCTGTAAAACAGTCAAAACAGTAAGCACTTTATCATGTTGTGAATGCATGCGGTGCACAATATCTAAGTGCTCAGTAAAGTTGCCTGTTATAGGATATTATTAATATATTGTAATTGTCCCCATAAACTGTAAGATAAATGCAGTACATGCTATTATTACCGAGGATGACATTGTAATTGATAACGTCTCAGTCTTTCCATTATACCTCCAATAACTTAAGGAATAGAAGCGGACTTACTCTAGAGGCTTGCATAGTATTTGGTAAGCCAAATACTTACTTAACAAATTCTCAATCTTGTTGGAATTGAGCCCCAGGCAGAACCGAGAAGCTGACTGTTGCTTCTGCCCTCGACTGAGGTGAATTGATAGCTGCACTGTTCCTCGGAGTCAAGAACTTACACTCATTCTCAAGCAAGATGGCATAACTTTGGCCTTTCAAAGTATTAAACTAGTGATTCTGCCTTGCCCGCCCCTCAAATAAATGCCGTGTCACCCTAGAAACAAAGATAACACTCTCCGCACACACAAACACGCACCCCTCGAGGAACGAAAGGCTGAGAATATAAATGCACCAAGGCGCACGCACTTCGAGAGACAGGCACAGTGAAGGCAAATCCAACCAGAGAGAAGGTGGTCGGTGCATCGCAGGGTCTGGATCTTTCTTGCATCTTCAGCTATAAAAGTGGGCACCTCGGGGTATGCCAGGATCTTCGAGAAAACAGAAACACATTATTTACCCAGAAAACAAAGATAAAGCACAAGCCTGCAGGATAACTGGAGGATGTGGTTACAGTTGAGACTTTCTGCAACCTGCAGATTTTGCTGTGTCAAAGGCACAAGTCTGTCAGGGATCCTGGGCACCTCCGCGACCACCACCCCACCTCTCCGGAACCTTCCTCACCTGCACAGCAGGTTTCCCGGAGCGGCGCCTTTAAGCCGAGCTATGCGCATGCGCACTGGCTGTAGAACAGCGGGAGCCGGGGTTCCTTTCTGCTGACTCCGGTTTCCCCGAGAGGGGTCGCTTCTTCCTCTTTCTCGCCAGGCTCCTTCAGTCCCAGCCGTGAACCGAGATTTCTGAACTACTGGGCGAGAGCCAACGTCTCTTCTTCCTTCTGTTCCGGCGGAGGCTTTGTCGCTGTGGGCTGGGCCCCAAGGTGCCCCCCATGGCGGGGCCGCGGGTGGAGGTTGATGGCAGCATCATGGAAGGGGTGAGTGCAGAGCGAAGCGGCGGGGGCTGCAGCCAGACTAAGGAAGGGAGTTCTCACCATTGGTGTGCTTACGTCTCTTCTCCATGTATCCCACCCTTTGCAGGGCGGCCAGATCCTGAGAGTCTCTACGGCCTTGAGCTGTCTCCTGGGCCTCCCCTTGCGGGTGCAGAAGATCCGAGCCGGCCGGAGCACGCCAGGCCTGAGGTAAATCTGGCTGGCCGGGGAGTTGCGGCGTGAAGTTTGGGGATCCGGGGATCAGGCGCCGGGCTGCTGGGCTGGGGCATCGGGTGTCCGAGTGGTGGAACCCGGAAGGTCCTGGCTGCAGGTATGGGGGGATCCGGGGCCGGGACGCTCTGCCTGGGCGGTGGCCTGTGTTCTAAGGTCTTGAAAGCCTCGAGGGGGTGAGTTTAGAAATGGTCTCGAGTTTTCTCTGTTTGGCTAAAATAGTCCCATTTTGCTAAAGAGCTATCTCTTAAAATGTTTTCCCACCTCACCGGGCATTCCAAATATCCGAATAGTACGTATGAGCAGGCAAGATATATAGGGCAGAAATGCTTGTGAGGCCAGAGGAAACCCTGTTTTTTAACCAGTGCATTCTGTGCTGCTGCAGTTTTAGGATCCTGAGACGTGTTATTCCAGCTTTCATTCATACCTCCAGAGAGCTGTTATGACTAGAATTATTTCTTGTGAAGAGGAAAACACCTTGACACTTGACCTTATTTCTTCTGTCTGGGTAGCTGGGCATGCCACTAGTTGAGTTTTGGGTATATGCACCTGTTAGAAGAGGACTCAGGTTGAAGCCACACTGATTTCTTTGTATGTATTCTATATTTATTACATTTTAATAAATCAGCGATCTCAGTCTCTTATCTACAGTTTTGAAATTACCAAAGGCAATTGCTGATATATGTTGATGTTAACTGCCTTTGTCATAGTTGTTTGCAGCCCTCCAGTTCACCAACAGGGGAATCCAATTCATTAGGCTGTAGGTGTTGTGTTAGTTCATAGGGCTGCCATAACAAAATACCACACACACAGGGTGGCTTAAACAACAGAAATTTATTTCCTCACAGTTCTGGAGCCTGTCCAAGATCAAGGTCCTGACAGGGTTGGTTTCCTCTGAGAGTCATAAGAAAAGGATTTACTCCAGGCCTCTCTTTTTGCCTCTTCACATCGTGGTTCCTCTGTGCACTCAGCCCCTAGTGTCTCTGTATATCCTAGTCTCTTTTTATAAGGACACCAGTCCGATTGTATAAGGGCCTACATTAATGGCCTCATTTTAACTTAATTATCTCTTTAAAGGATCTGTCTCCAAATATAGTCACATTCTGAGATACTGAGGGTTAGGGTCTCAGCATATGAATTTTGAGGGAACATAGTTCAGCCCATACAGGCACCACAGATTATTCAGTCAAGTGTAAGGGAAACTGGTGGTGCTAAAGTAAATATTAGTTTTCTTCTTTTGCACACTTCTAATTTAACTACAATATATCAGGATATGTATTTATAGCCACAAATAACTGGTCTGCAAGAAAGCCTTAAAATGATAACTACTAGCAGGTAGTCAAGGTGCATAAAAACCCAAAAGGAAGTTTACACTGAAGATGTGTGGCACTTACTGTGTGGTTAGACCTTGATGTTTTCTTGCCATTGCAGTTTTATAAATTTGTAATAAAATGTGGGTATATAGGCAGTCTGAATGCGCACGTTTTGATGCAGTATTATGACCTGAAGGCCTCAACATTTATCTGGACTGGAAATAATTCGAGACTTGTGTGATGGGCAACTGGAGAGGGCAGAAATTGGCTCAACAGAAATAACCTTTACGCCAGAGAAGATCAAAGGTGGAATCCACACAGCAGATACCAAGACAGCAGGGTATGTATCACTTACGTTCCATTTAAGTAACGTAAGTCTAGGTTTTACTGAGTTCTGGGCAAGTTGCTTAATTTCTATGAGCTTGTTTTCTTACTCTTATATTTTCTTTTTTTGAGATGGTATCCTTCTGTTGCCCAGGCTGGGGTGCAGTAGGGCAATCACTACTCACTGTAAGCTGTAACTCCTGGGCTCAATGGGTCCTCCCACCTTAGCCTCCCGAGTAGCTGGGATCGTCCATAGGCACACACCACCACGCCCAGCTAATTTTTTTTATTTTTTGTAGAGATAAGGTTTTGCCATGTTTTTCAGCTGGTCTCGAATTCCTGAGCTCAACAGTCCACCCACGTTAGCCTCCCAAAGTTTTAGGATTACGGGTGTGAGCTACCATACCTGGCCAGTAAATACTTATTGAATTAATGAAATTCATTATTACTGATAGAGACTTCCCAGTTCAATACATAAGCATCATTGTGTAAGTGAGTTAAATAAAGATCCATCTTTTGGTAGGTAGGATGCTATTTTGATTCCCTTTCAAACTACTTATTAATATGATTGCTTTCACTTAACTTTGGAAAAGGGAGATGATGGCTCCTTTAGAAAACGACCAGGCCAGGTGCGGTGGCTCATGCGTATAAACCCAGCACTTTGGGAGGCCGAGGTGGGTGGATCGCTTGAGCTTAGGCATTTGGACCAGGCTGGGCAATATGGCAAAACCCCATCTCTACAAAAAGAATACAAAACTTAGCTAGGCATGGTGGCATATGCTGGTAGTCCCAGCTACTTGGGAGGCTAAGGCTTACACCTCGGAGGTGGAAGGTGCCGTGAGCCGAGATTGTGTCACTCCACTCCAGCCTGGATGCCAGAAGACCCTGTCTCAAAAAAGACAAAAAAAAGAAAATGACCAAGTATTTCACTTTATAAAATTATTCATGTTATGTAACTATTTCTTGTGATTTTTAACATTATTTGACTATAAGGACCAAACAGGCAAGTAAAGCAAGGATTACTTCACTAAAACTTTTCCATGTGAAATATTTAGCTATCAGTCTTTTTTTTTTGTCTCCCAGGCTGGAGTGCAGTGACACCATTATGGCTCACTATAGCCTTGATCTCTTGGGTTCAGGCAACCTTCCCAAAGTGCTAAGACTACAGTTGTGCACCACCACCCCTGGTTAATTTTTGAATTTTTGTGTAGAGATAGAGTCCCACTATGTTGCCCAGACTGGTTTCAAACTCCTGGGCTCAATTGATCATCCTGTTTTGGTCTCCCAAAGTGCTGGGATACAGGCATTAGCCTCTGCACCTGGCCAAGCTATCAATCTTTGTAAAATACTATTCTTTTTTTTTCTCTTCTTCTTTTGTTTCTTTATTATACTTTAAGTTCTGGGGATGCAGGTTTGTTACATAGGTATACATGTGCCATGGTGGTTTGCTGCACCTGTCATCTAGGTTTTAAGCCCCGCATGCATTAGGTATTTGTCCTAATTCTCTCCCTCCCCTTGCCCCCTACCCCCTGACAGGCCCTGGCGTGTGATGTTACTGTGATGTTCTCCTCCCTGTGTCAATGTGTTCTCATTGTTCAATTTCCATTTGTGAGTGAGAACATTCAATGTTTGGTTTTCTGTTCCTGTGTTAGTTTGCTAAGAATGATGGTTTCCAGCTTCATCCATGTCCCTGCAAAGGACATGAACTCATTCTCTTATGGCTGTGTAAAATATTATTCTATCATATCATGAACTCCACAATGATAGGAACTATATCTTAACTTCGTACCTGAAACAGTACCTTGTTGTATGGTAGCAATTAATATATAATCAATTCAGTATTTCTAGACCTTGACTGTTTTGAAAGCATTTTTACAAACTGCTAGTTTCAAGAATCCTTTTGTAAAACTTCTGAAGAAAGTTTTATTTTTAATTTTTTTCTTTTATACTTTTTTGTAATATAAGGAAAAGTATCAGAATTTACCCAAGGTCACACAGCTAATGTGTTTAGTTGAAGATTCAGACCCAGGTTTGCTTATCATTTAAACCTATTTTTTCCTTTGGTGAAATACTGTCTTTCTTTAAAATTCAGGATTTTACTATTCAGACACTGAAATGTTTTTTAACTAGAAATTCAGTGACATATACCTGCTTTCACAGTTGTCTGTGCTTCAGTTGTAGTGATGAACAATAATATAGCTTACTTAGGAGTCTGAAAATAAAATGAAGAAAAGAAAATGAAAATAAGCCTTTTCTGCCTTCTCCTTAGGAGCGTGTGCCTCTTGATGCAGGTCTCAATGCCGTGTGTTCTCTTTGCTGCTTCATCATCAGAACTTCATCTGAAAGGTGGAACTAATGCCGAGATGGCACCACAGATTGATTATACAGTGATGGTAAGGGCTTTTGTTGTTGACAAACTAAGATGATCTCATACATGCTTCTGAGTCTCCATTCTCTATTTAAATATATCCTGTTTTGTTTTTTTTTGTGTGTGTGACTTTCTTGTTTATCTCTTCATGGTGTCCTTTGTTGTTTTTGTTGTTGAGATGGAGTCTTGCCCTGGTTCAAGCAATTCTCCTGCCTCAACCTCCTGAGTAGCTGGGATTACAGGTACCTGCCACCGTGCTTGGCTAATTTTTTTGTATTTTTAGTAGAGACAGGGGTTTCACCATCTTGGCCAGACTGGTCTTGAACTCCTGACCTCGTGATCCACCCAATTTGGCCTCCCAATGTGCTGGGATTACAGGCTTGAGCCACCGCACCTGGCCCGTTACTTTTCATTTCTTTTTTGGGACAGTGCTGTTGCCCAGTCTGGAGTACAGTTGCATGATCACGGTTCATTGCAGACTCAACCTCCTGGACTCAAGTGATCCTCCTGCCTTGGCCTCCTGAGTAGCTGGGACCACAGGCACACACCCAGCCAATTTTTATTTTATTTTATTTTTTGTAGAGACAGGGTCTCACTGTGTTGCCCAGGCTGGTCTTGAACTCCTGAGCTCAACGGATCCTCCCACCTCAGCCTCCCGAATGTGTCTAGTTCTATTGCAGTAGAGGTTGGGGAATTATGTTTACTTTAAGGTTGTTGTTGTATCTTAGAATACTGTTTATAGTGAATTGTTTAAAAAACCTCAAGTGTGGGGCCAGGAATGGTGGCTCTTGCCTGTAATCCTAGCACTCTGGGAGGCTGAAGTAGGCAGATCAGTTGAGCTCAGGAGTTCAAGACCAGCCTGGGCAAAATGGTGAAATCCCTTCTCTACAAAAATAAATAAATAAATAAATACACACACACACACACACACACACACACACACACACACACAGGAAAATTAGCCAGGAATGATGGTGTGCACCTGTTCAAGCTACTCAGGATGCCGAGTTGGGAGGATCACTTGAGCCTGTGAAGTCGTGTCTGTCGTGAGCTATGTTGGCTCTCCAGCTTGGGTGATAAAGCGAGACCCTGTCTTTTAAAAAACAAAACAAACAAACAAAAAAACACACTTCAAATGTGATATAAATTGTATCAATTGTAATATGTTATTTTATAAATACTAGAATTATGATTTGGAGGAAAACTCAGACTTTTTTTTTCCATTAAGCCCCTTCCATTCTAGGATCAAATGTTTAAAAATTATAAAAAATCATGGCATTCTCATATAACTAGTGGGAGAGAAATGTAGTGTAATCTTTTCTTCGTCCAGATTTATTAAAGTATCATTATTTTCAGTTGAATCCACCCTTCTTAACGTACAGTTCTGTGATGTTTGACAGTGATTCACAGTTATGAACCATCTACCACAATCAAGATATAGAATACTTCCATTACTCCAAAAAGTTCCCTTATCCGTTTTTGTAATTAGTCCTGAGCCTTAGCCCCTGGCAACTGCTGATCTGTTTTCTGTTATAGTTTTGCCTTTTGTTCAGAATGTCATATAAGGAATAATACTCTATGTAGGCTTTGAATCTGGATTTTTTGCTCACTGTAATACATTTGAGATTCACCCTTGTTGCTTGTGTCTGCAATGAAAACTTAAGTCGTGTTCTGGTATATGGACGTACCAGTTTGCATAGCCATTCATCTGTTGAAGGGCATTTGGGTGTTTGCAGGTTTTGGCAATTATAAATTAAGTTACTGGTAACATTTATATACAAGTTTTTGTATAATTGTGCATTTTCATTTCTCTTGGGTAAATAGTAATGCTGGGTTGTTATAATAAGCAAATGTCTAACTTTATAATGAATAGCCAGGTTGTTTTGGCTTCCAAAGTGGCTACATCATTTTGCATTATTACCAATACTATATGAGAGTTCCAACTGAAGTGGGCACAGTGGTGTGTGTCTATAGTCCCAGCTATTTAATACTTGGTAGGCTGAGGTGGGAGGATCTCTTGAGCTTAGAAGTTTGAGTCTAGCCTGGGTAACGTAGTGAGACCCCATCTCTAAAATAAAAATAAATACCAGATAGAGGGTTTCAGCTGTTCTGTATCCTTCCTAGCACTTGATATTCTCAGGTTTTTATTTTTTAAGTTTTTTTATACCCTTTTTAAAAAAAAAAGCAGGTTAATAACATGTATACTTCCTGTATACATAGGAGACAACCCAGAGGAATAAGTAGATCTCTAGAGTAGATCTCAAAGAGTTGCCTTAGACTTCAGGCTTAAACACCATCTTTCTCTGAAATATTGCCATTCTAATAGGGTATAATCTTTTTAAAGTTAGTACAGTGGGATATATAATAAAAATTAATCTCTCCTCACCTAGTAATTTTCACTTCAAGAGAACTACTCCTAATTCAGTATTGCAAAATGCAGCTAAAGATAAATGTTAAAGGTATTTGAACCAGGCATTATATACTATAATTATCATTATATAAGATATATCATCTAATAATGAAAACTTGGAGAACAGTTAAGTAAATTATGCTAAGATGCCATGCAGTCATTCAGATATTATTTAGGAATAATTTTATGATGTCAGGAAAATGCTTATGTTTCTAATGTTAAAGCATTGTCTGTGAAATGAGATTTCAACTGTATAAAAAATTGATTCACAGGCATCAAGAGGTAAGAAAAAAATAGAAAAAAAATTGAGAAGGCGGGATTCACTAATACCCCCTCATTTCTTGTAATGTACTATATTGAGATGCATTAGGAAGTATTGGCCTTTGGTGTAGAATAACCACTGATATTAAGTATCCTAAGTTCCAATATTTTTCTTTAGGTAGACTTGCACAGCTCTGATTAAATAAATGTTAAACTTTTAAATTTAGCTACATATTAGTTTTTTCATTTGAAAAAATGGAACTAGCCTACATATTCTTATAACACCATTTACCTATAGCACCCAATTACCAGCCAGCAAAGCACTTTTGTTTAATAAATATACTTGTTGAAGTCGTGAATATTGCTGATTAACCCAATGATAAAAACTGATTTTTTCAGGTTTTCAAGCCAATTGTTGAAAAATTTGGTTTCAAATTTAATTGTGACATTAAAACAAGGTAAGTTGCTTATTTCTTAAATGTTATAAGATATTACTTATGCTAAAAATAGTGGAAAACTTAGACCCTTAGAGAACTGTTTTTCTGGTACCCACTTAATACATTACATCTCTTGTAAGAAGTAATTGTACTTCATGCTTAAAAATAATGAATAGCAGGGGCATAGGGACTTGAGGGCAGTTACACATGATGGTTATTTATTTCTTGGGAAAATATTTTCAAGGGAATTTTAACAATGAGGTACCCTCATATCTAGTGTTATTGTATTCTCTTAAATGCTCACTGTGTGTAGACAACTGGACTAAACACTAAGGGGTCATAAAAGGGATTGTCTTCCACAATGCGATCAGAAGTATTTTCCTAAGAAACTATTGGGCATTCAGGTTATTTCTCTTTAAGGCTTCACTTCTACCACACAATAACTAGGCCATAATTTTTGGCATGGGACTTAAGTGCTTTGAAGTCTTGAACTAACTTCTTCATTCCTCTCCTCCTTTTGATGTGTTATGTGTTCTAACAATATGATTGCTTGTTACTCCTTAAATATGCTTTGTGCCTTTGGAGTTGTGTGTCTTTGTTCATGTTATTCTTCCCCTCCTCTCCGAAAAGTCAGAAATCCTATGTTTTTTTCCAAGATGAAACTTGTAATTCTTTATGAACTCTGATTGTGCCTCAATCAGAACTCACATTTGCACCTATGTTGTAGCCTTTCTTATAGCCTGACTTGTATTCTAGTAGATAGTGCATGGAGCCATCTTCCTACCAGACGGTGGGCCCTTTGAGGGGAGGGGTACTGTATTCTCACCATCTGATGTAGAATAAATGATACCAATTAATTGAATTAAAATTTTTTAGTGTTTTGCTACTTAAATATTCATCATATATTTATTTGAATACTTAACCATGTGCCAGACATTGTTTTAGGCACAGAAAAATAGCAGGAACAATATAGGTGAGTCTAGTCTTCAAGGAGCTTATATTCAACAGCACTGTTGAATAGAACTTTCTGCATTGAGGGAAATGTTCCATATGTATGCCGTCCAATGTGGTAGTCACTAGCCAAATGTGACTGTTGAGCACTTAAAATGTGGCTAGTGCAGCTGGAGAACCTGTTTTTAAATTTTATTTAATTTTAATAGTTTCACATATCTCAAGTCTATCATATTGTACAGTACAGACAATTTTTTTAATGGGTAAAATTTTGTGAAATACCGACCTAAAATATTTAGGAATTACCGACCTTTCCATGGGTTACATGTTTGGATATCATTGACATGTCATTTTGTTGTAATATAGAGCTTTATTTTTATCATGCAGTTTATGTGGGCATTTGTTATACTTTTCATAGGGGATATTACCCGAAAGGGGGTGGTGAAGTGATTGTTCGAGTGTCACCAGTTAAACAATTGAACCCTATAAATTTAACTGACCGTGGCTATGTGACTAAGATATATGGAAGAGCTTTTGTTGCTGGTGTTTTGCCATTTAAAGTAAGTTGTTTAGATGTTCTTAGAAGTAAAATGTATGTATCTCTTGGTAAGTATTATGTCAATTAAAATTTGAAATTATTGAGAAAACTTAACATTTTTTTAAAGAAAGAAATCATGTTTTGTGGCAATATGGAGGCAGCTGGAGGCCATTGTCCTAAGCAAATTACTGTAGGAACAGAAAACCGAATACCACATGTTCTCATGAGTAGAAGCTACACATTGAATACATGTGGACATAAAGATGGGAACAGTAGACACTGGGGACTGCTAATGGGAGGAGGATGGAAGCTGAGTGAGGGTTGAAACACTGTCAGGTACTGTGTTCACTACCGAGGTGATGGGATCATTCATGTACCAGATCTCAGCGGCATGTAATTTACCCATGTAACAAACCTGCACGTGTACCTGCCGAACCTAAAATAAAAGATAAAATACATATATATATAAATGAATACATTAATTAACAAAAATTAAGTTAATTTGCATACACATTTTTTAAAATTCAGTGTTCTCTCTTGAAAAATTAAGTTATTAAATAATGCATGTGAAAGTTACCAATTATTTTCTGTGTCTTTGAAGTCTTGAAAACAGTTTTCCAAATAATCAGTAATTATTTTATTCTATTTTTCTGTCTTGCCAAAATAGGTAGCAAAAGATATGGCAGCGGCAGCAGTTAGATGCATCAGAAAGGAGATCAGGGATTTGTATGTTAACATCCAGCCTGTTCAGGAACCTAAAGACCAAGCATTTGGCAATGGAAATGGAATAATGTGAGACAATACTTTTCCCTACACACTAGTTGAAAGCCCTGAAATAATTATCTCATTAAATTAAAGATTTGTAGGGTTTCTTGCTTAAATTTATGGTTTTAAGAAGTTTCAATTTGTATTTTTAAGGATATTCCTACCTAAAACATCAGTATAATAAATTAAGGTGATTATTCTGAATTTTTTCTGAGGATGGCTTGCCTTTTGTTACATTGTAAGATTCCTTTCCTTGTATAGTGAACTTAAATGGTTAAGCTTATCAGAAATGATTAGGCTTTAAAGCTAGTCCTGTGAGAATATTTCCAGTTGTATAAAATACTTCAAATGTGAAATCAGTTCACAAGGAAATATTAAATATAGCAAAGAGCTCTTTAAAAACAGACTATTATGTTAATCCAGTTAGGAGTTGTAGATTTAAGTATTACTACAAATTCTTTAACTGATGTTTTTGAAGTATAAAAATACCATTTGTGGATATTTAAATATCAAACCCTCTCATTCAGAATTTCCATTAAAAGGTTTAAAGTGAATTCTTGCTCTACTTATAATAATACTGTCTAAAAACTGTAGAATAATACCTAAGTCCCTGCATAATGACCTTTTTATTTAAGATAATTCTGGAACCCTTTATAATACTGTGTGGCTGTGAAATGGTACCGCTTAGTGCTGATGACATGGCAACATATTGGGGTGCATGGCAGACATTTCTTACCTGCGAATTAAAATCTGATATAACTTCTCCTGGTCAAGTGGTAAAGGATACTAGTGGTCTGATTAAGATAGAGTATGTTAATCATGCCACTCTATATGAAGAATTTTTACTTTTGCAATTTGCTGTCCAGATTTAGTTCTGCCTATTTAATAGTCACTGTTCTCTTGTGTTGTATTTGCATAAACTTAGAATATTTACAGTAAAGGTAGTAATAACTTTTTTCTTGCATAGAATTATTGCTGAGACCTCTACTGGCTGTTTGTTTGCTGGATCGTCGCTGGGTAAACGAGGTAAGATAAATGAAGGGTGTCCATAGTTACCAGTGCTACTGCAAAATTCTTTAATTTGTCAGGATTGGAATGTTATAGAATGAGGATGACAAGTTTAAAAGGATGTAGTTAATTGATTGTCTTTTAGAGTCAATTATACCTTCAGACTTTCAGTCTTTTTCCTACCTTTATAATTTGGAAAATGTCAAAGCTATGGAAAAGTTGAATGACTAGTTTAACTAGTTTTCCATACAATCTTCTAGATTCACTAGTTATGAACACTTAGTTCGTTGTGTATATTTCTGAACCATTTCAATGTAAGTTGCAAGTGCCATGTCTCACCCCTGAGTACTGCAGCATATATGTCCAACGAACAATAACTATATAATCACAATACCATTTTTATACCTGAAGAATTTGTTATATTCTGACACACCTGGTAGCTTCATACTTAATGAATTATTTCCAAAATATTGGTTAGAGCAATGTGGGATTTTTTTGGGGGCGGGGGGAGCACATAGCATTTGTTTTTCAAGTCTCTTTATTCACTCTTTTAATACAGAATACTCCCATTACCTTTTTTTGTTTGTTTCATGATATTGACATTTTTAAGAGTGTTAGGCCATTTTCTCACAGAATTTCCCACAATTTAAATTTGTCTCAATGTCTCATGATATATTCAGATTAAACATTTTTATTAAGAATGCTACATAGGTGATTTTGTGTACATTCCACTGTGTCATGGCAGGGGGCACATGATGTTAGTTTCTCCTTCACTGGTGAGGTTCAGTGTGATCACTTGCTTAGGGAGGTATGTCCTCCAGATCTGTCTGCTATAAAGGTTCTTTTTACCTTTATAATAAACTAGTGATCCAAAATAATCTTTGAGGCCATCTGATTATCCAGTGGTTTTAACATCTATTGATGATTTTTCTCTGCATCAGTTATTTCATTGGTGACCTCAAATTTTGAATATTTTTGTGAAGGGGAAATTTGTTTAAGGCTTGACATATTAGAGAGAGAAGATACCTACATGTGTCTGTTTGTTAGTCTTTAAAGTTACTTTTACCAACCAGGCAACTTTTAGGTGAACTAGGTATTTGTGTGGTCACTGATTGCTTTATTCCTACTTTGTAGCATCTTTAAAAATGCTTACCAAGCTGGACACAGTGGTACACACCTGTAATCCCAGCACTTTGGGAGGCTGAGGTGGGAGGATCACTGAGACCAGAAGTTCAAGACTATCCTGGGCAACGTAGTGAGACCGTATCTTTGCAAAATAAATAAATAAAAATGTTTACCTTAGATATGCTGTTTAGCCATATTGTTACTACTGAATACAGAAAAAACTTAGGAATTCTTCAGTTTGCTCAATTGGTAAATCTAGAACTAGTTGGTCATCAAATCTGACCAAGAGAATAAATAAAATCACCATTTCCAGTTGAACTCACGTAAATGAATTCTGACTAAAACTGTGCTATTCATAATGTGGTTGGCAGACAGGCAAACTTGTCAGCATCAACTGGGAGTTTATTAGAAATACAGATATTGGGGCCTACCTCAGACATATTGAATTAGAATCTGTGGGAGTGGGGCCCAGGAATCCATTTTAACAAAACTTTCCAGGTACTTTTAATGTATACTGAAGTTTGAGAAATAGTGATCTAAAATATGTATTAGGTGCAGTGTGGATATTGAACCACTCCATGCACTATCTACAACAGTCTTTAGAAGCAAAGAGAATACAAATATAAAATGGGGAGTAGGAGCAGACATATTACAAGTAATGAGTACTTGGCAGGCATTGGAGAAGTGTGAGTGTGTTTATATTACTGGTTACCACAATGTGCTGGGTACTGTGTACTAGGGATTCAGAAGTGACAGCTGTGATTCCTGCCTGCTGGCTTATTCTGGCAGAGGAAACAGACAAGTTCTATGATAGTGGTATCCCCAGGGTACCGTAGAAACATAGAAGAAAAGTGAATCCTTCTGGGGACTAATTGACCCCAAATCTGGCTTCTGCCATTTTTGGTCCTCCAGCAGGTTCTGTGGGTAAATAGAAGTTAGCTGGATAGAAACGTAAGAGCTAAGGAGGAAGGACAAAGTAATTTGACATAAAAAATATTCTGGGTGAGGTGGCATGCAGCTTTAGTCCAAGCTACTTGGGAGGCTGAAGCAGGATGATTGCTTGAGCCAGGAGATTGACAACAGCCTGGCCAACATGGCAAGATCCCATCTCTTAAAAACGTTTTAGTTTAAATACCTTAAATTATTCTAGCACCTATTTAATCTTTTACTTTTCTGAACTCCTGTTGGGTATATAGTTTATACCATAGAGTTAGCACTTAATTATCCTCTAATTCTTTAATGTATGTGTATTTTTAAATGCCTCCTTAGCAAAGGATCTGGCTTCTGTTACTTAGCATGGTAGGTAAATAGTGGGTATGCAATACTCCTACAGACTGAGCATTCCTAATCCAAAAATCTAAAATCTGAAATGTTCCAAAATCAGAAGCTTTTCAAGTGCCAATATGCCACAACACTTTGTTTTATGCACAAAATCATTTAAAACATTGTATGAGGCTGCCTTCAAGCTATGTGTATAAAGTATATATGAAACATTAATGAATTTCATGTTTGTTTATTATGTATTTATTGAGATGGGATTCTCACTCTGTTACCCAGGCTAGAGTGCAGTGGTGCGTCCTTGGCTCACTGCAAGCTCTGCCTCCTGAGCTCGAGAGATCTTCTTGCCACAGACTGCTGAGTAGCTGGAACTATTAGTGTGCACCACCATGCCTGGCTATTTTGGTAGAGACAGAGTTTTGCCATGTTGCCCAGGCCAGTCCTGAACTCCTATACTCAAGCTATCTGCCTCCCTCAGCCTCCCAAAATGCTGGGATTATAGGTGTGAGCCACCATGCTTAGCTGAATTTCATATGTAGACTTGGGTCCCATCCCCAAGCTATCTCATGTATATACAAATATTCCTTTTTTTTTTTTTTTTTAAATTTTGATACAGAATCTCTTGTGTCACCCAGCCTGGAGTGCAATGGTATGACCTCGGCTCACCACAACCTCCGTCTCCCGAGTAGCTAAAACTACAGTTGCACACAATCATGCCTGGCTAATTTTTGTATTTTCAGTAGAGATGGGATTTCACCACATTGGCCAAGCTGGTCTCAAATTCCTGATCTCAAGTGATCTGTCCACCTCAGCCTCCCAACCTGCTGGGATCACAGGCATGAGCTACTGTGCCTGGCCCAAATATTCCAAAATATTTTAAAAATCCAAAATCTGAAAACTTCCAGTCCCAAACATTTTGGATAAGGGGTACTCAACCTGTGTTATTATTAATAGCTTTTTATGTACTAGTGTGGATAAGAGATATTTTATAAATATCCTCTTCTAGAAGAGGAAATGGCAGTGGCTAACAAGAAGTCAAGATTCATAGCACATGTTTCAAACCATTTCATTCAGTAACGTAAATACTTGACCAATTGATAATATAAAGAGAGTAATTTAATATATTATTATGACCACTGTAAAGAAAAATAGAGTTCTTGGGTGTGGTGGCTCCTGCCTGGAATTCTAACACTTTGGGAGGCTGAAGCGGGAAAATCACTTGAGTTCAGGAGTTTGAGACCAGTCTGGGCAATACATAGTGAGACCTTGTCTCTAAAAAAAAAAGGAAAAAAGAAAACAAGAAAAACAAAGAAAAACAGAGTTAATAGAGTTAGAATTCTAAATCAAGTAAATTATATATTCCAGTAAATTTGCAAATATGAAACAGAAACAAAACTAACCACATTTTCAGTTTTTATAAGAGGTTTTAATTTGCAGCCAAAAATGTTTTAGTTTAAATACCTTAAAATAATAATGTAGCATTCTACTACTTCTGACAGACTTGTTTTGTGTTCAGTGTTGTACCAAAGATTTGGGATATGTATGGAGAGATAGGAAGTAGGGCAAGAGGGTAAATATTTTGACTTATATTTAAAATAAGCTAATACCTGTTCAAATCTTAGAGGAAGTAAAACTAAAATATTTGATCTGATAATGTTATATGCTCTTTCTTACATAAAATGTAATTTCCTGACTTTCAATTTAAAAAAAAATTTTTCTTTTTTTTTTCTGAGACAGAGTTTCACTCTGTCACCTAGGCTAGTGTGCAGTGGCACAATCTCAGCTCACTGCATCCTCTACCTCCCAGGTTCAAGTGATTCTCTTGCCTCAGCCTGCTGAGTAGTTGGCATTACAGGCATGCACCATCATACTAATTTTTGCATTTTTAGTAGAGACAGGGTTTTGCCGTGTTGGCCAGGCTGGTCTCAAACTCCTGACCTCAAGTGATCCACCTGCTTCGGCCTCCCAAAGCACTGGGATTACTGGCGTAAGCCACTGCACCAAGCCAAACTCTTTAATTCTGATGGAACTACCTGCAGACTAATTGTAACATGCATGTTTTTCTGAGATTTGGAAAGGGAGTTTGTTTCTTTGTTTGTTTGGTAGATGGCATCTCTCTGTGTTGCCCAGGCCAGCCTTGAACTCCTGACCTCAAGTGATCCTCACACCTCAAGCTTCCCAAAGTCCTGTGATTACAGGCATGAGCCACCATGCCTGCCTGCAAGTTTTAAATTTTGAAATTGAGGCATAGCATTATAGGGTCATAACTTCTTTGTAAACTGGCTTTATAAATTAGTACATTTTAAATAGGACCAATGCAGCCTATATTTTCCTACACTAGTACATTTAAAGGTATAAGACATTTGTGTATCCTAAACACTCAAAATATTAAATAACTAAAAATCTTACTCTAAAAGGTGCATTGAGTGGGTCAGAGGCCTTAAAGTTGTATACCACTGCTAACTGGATATATCAAACTTTTTGTCTCTTAATAATTAATTAATTTTTTTTTTTAATGTTGTGCTTATCTTAAGGTGTAAATGCAGATAAAGTTGGAATTGAAGCTGCTGAAATGTTATTAGCAAATCTTAGACATGGTGGTACTGTGGATGAGTATCTTCAAGATCAGGTAATGACACATTTAGGTTAAAAACCCTCTAAACTGTTAGATTTGAATGTGTTGTAATTAGATTGAATATCAATTTTAATAATTGACTTTCAGACACTAATTAACAAGTCCTACTTCAATATTTTTAAAAAATATTCTGGAGCTGGGTGTGGTGGCTCACGCCTGTAATCCCAGCACTTTGGGAGGCTGAGGCGGGTGGATCACAAGGTCAAGAGATTGAGACCATCCTGGTCAACATGGTGAAACCCTGTCTCTACTAAAAATACAAAAAATTAGCTGGGCATGGTGGTATGTGCCTGTAATCCCAGCTACTCAGGAGGCTGAGGCAGGAGAATTGCCTGAACCCAGGAGGCGGAGGTTGCGGTGAGCCGAGATCGCACCATTGCACTCCAGCCTGGGTAACAAGAATGAAACTTCGTCTCAAAAAAAAAATTCTGGAATTTATATTTCTCAAATTTTAGCCCTCATTTTACTTGACCTGTCTACAGCATTTTGCACAATTGATCACCTCTTCCTGCTTGAAGTCTTGTCTTCCTTCGGTTTCTGAAATACTGTTATCTTACCTCACTGGCCATACATTCTCGTCTCCTTTGCTAGTTTATTGTTGTTTTCATCTTTTTGACAACTTTTTTTTTTTGGGGGGGTAGAGACAGAGTCTTGCTGTATTGCCCAGGCTGGTTTTGAACTCCTGGCCTCAAGTGATCCTCCTGCCTCAGCCTCCTGAGTAGCTAGGCCTACAGGCACATGCTATCATGCCTAGCTAATTTAAAACTTTTTTTTTTTTTTTTTTTACTTTTTATAGAGATGAGGTCTCAGTATGTTGACCACGCCAATCTTAAAGTCTGGCGCCCGGTGATCCTCCCACTTTGGCCCCCCAGAGTTTTGGGATTAAGGGCATGAGCCACTGTGCCCAGCCAACTTCTGAATTTTGCTGAGCCCCTAGACTTCAGCTTATGCTTGTTTTCTTTTTCTGCAGTTACTTCCTTTCTTAGTTTGTGCAGTCTCATGGCTTAAGTATCATGTTTATGCTGACAATTTCCAAATTTATATCCAAAGCCCAGGCTTTTCTCGTTAACTCCTTACTCATTATATCCGCTATGCCTGTCAGCACCTCCACTTGGACCTGTCACAGACCTCTCAGACTTAGCACGTTCACTCACAGTGAGAAATGATAATGAATATTTCCAAATACCTTCTTTATGGTCTGTTATCAGTATAGATTTTCCTTTCTACCATACTTTTATCTCCTTAATCCCAAATCAGTAGTGTCCACATTTAGAATATATTTCTCAAGATTTCTTGACCTGTTCCTTAAGACAGTTTCTGTTATTTCTAGTCTCTTTCTTGTCCAGGTCTACTTTAAACTCCCAGTATCAATCCGTCTATTCAGCTCTTAAAATGTAATTTTAGAGAGTAGAATAAACGCCATATTGTATATACCAACTTGCAGAGTTGTTTGGTCTAAGTATATATATTAATATTCTATATTTTACTTGTGAATGTTAATTTTAAAAATTTTGTGTTGAGAGCTGCTACCCAGCCTTTTTGTATACTCACAGACTTAGGGTAACATGGGTTTTCTGTCATCTTCTGAGGACTTCCAGAAAACTAAAGAAATAGAAAATTTTTTTTTAGCAATTTTTATTTCTAGTAGTATTTTTATTATGGGCAACAGTGGAATTAGAACTTCAAATATGAATAAATGTGTGAGATTTTTCTTTGATCTTTTTTAAATAGCTGATTGTTTTCATGGCATTAGCCAATGGAGTTTCCAGAATAAAAACAGGACCAGTTACACTCCATACGCAAACAGCTATACATTTTGCTGAACAAATAGCAAAGGTGAGTATTCTATCAGACAAAGAAATTGATATTTTGATATATATATTTTTTGAGACAGAGTGTCACTCTGTCACTCAGGCTGGAATGCGATGGTGTGGTCTCAGCTTGCTGTAATCTCTGCCTCCGAGGTTCAAGCAATTCTCCCACCTCAGCTTTCCGAGTAGCTGGGATTACAGGCTTGTGCCACCACACCTGGCTAATTTTTATATTTTTAGTAGAGATGGGGTTTCACTATGTTGGCAAGGTTGGATATTTTGATTTTTATTTTAGTCAATTTTGGGTTAAATTTTAATAAACAGGAAACTTAATAGTAATCATAATTGCTATCACTCACTGTTTTCCTATGTGGCAGGCACTGAGCTAATTTAGCAATTTATCTGAACTGCCTTACTCAGCATAACTATTGTAGGTGGCTGTTTATTATTATTCCCATTATACATATGAGTAAAGTGAGGCAGAGAGATTCGTTAAATTGTTCAAGGCCACATGGATTTTTAGTGGCAGAGCTGGGCTTTGAGCAAATCTGGGAAAGCATACTTCAAAGCCCGTGTTATAATCACTGCAGTATTGCCTTACAGAGTAAGTAAAGATGTTTTGTTGTAAACTATGGTATCAAATCACAAGGGATTCATAGTTGGCTATAAAATATTTGTTGAATATTCATCAGTCCTCTGATATTTAGTAGAGTTGACACACAGTTTTTAAAGAAGAAGGATTTATCATTGTATGAGCTCATATCCTACAGGATTCTTTTTTTTTTTTGAGAAAAGGTCTCGCTCTGTTGCCGAGGCTGGAGTGCAATGGCACGATTTCGGCTCACTGCAACCTCTGCCTCCCAGGCGCAAGAGATTCTCCTGCCTCAGCCTCCCAAGTAGCTGGAACTATAGGCTCATGCCACCACACCTGGCTAATTTTTGTATTTTTTTGTAGAGATGGGGTTTTGCCATGTTGCTTAGGCTGTTCTCAAACTCCTGAACTCAGGTGACCCACCTGCCTTGGTCTCCCAAAGTGCTAGGATTATAGGTGTGAGCCACTGTACCTGGCCTGGATTGTTAATTTAAAAAAATAATATATATATTTCATCATGAAATTAATTTAATTTATTTATAGGAAACAGAGAGGAAAAGCCTTCTCATAATTTCCCTTGCCAGTAAAACCACTATTGATATTTAGGTGTTTTCCTCTTCTCCTAAATTGTTACTCTTTGTATTTTTTGCAGTTAATGCATACAGCTTCATTTCTCACTTCTTTCAGTAACATGTAGTATATTTCCCATTTTGCTTTTTCTTTATAATGTAATTTTATAAAGATATAAAATTTATAATTTAGTTTTATGAGGGAAGGTGCTAATGTTAAACATTTTTATTATTATTTTTGAGATAGGATCTTGCACTGTTGCCCAGGTTGGAGTGCAGTGGCACAAACCTCCTGGTCTCTCAAGTGATCCTCCCACCTCAGCCTCCCAAGTAGCTGGTACTGCAGGTGTGTGCTACCACATCTGGCTAGTTTTTTGATGTTTTATAGAGATGGGGTCTTGCCACATTGCCTAGGCTGGTCTATAAACTCCTGGCCTCAAGCAATCCTCCCACCTCGATCTCCCAAAGTGCTGGCCAGCATGCCCAGCCCTAATCTTAAGCATTTTAAAAAATGACTAAAGTAATATATACTAATTTTAAAGTAAGCATTATGGAAGTGTCCCAAACACAAAATCACTGTTGCTGCCCTATACCTGTTTATATGATTCTTTTTCTGTTTCTTTTTTCTTAAGATAGAGTCTTACTCTGTTAGCCCAGATTGGAGTGCAGTGGCACGATCTTGGCTCACAGCAGCCTCTGCCTCCCAAGTTCAAGCAATTCTTATGACTCTGCCTCCAGAGTAGCTGGGATTACAGGCGTGTGCCACCCCATCCAGCTAATTTTTGTGTTTTTTAGCAGAGACAGGGTTTCACTATGTTGGCTAGGCTGGTCTCAAACTCCTGGCCTTTTTTTTTTTTTTTTTTTCCTTTTAAGAGACAGGGTCTTGCTCTGTTGTCCAGGCTGGATTGTAGTGGCAGTATCATAGCTCACTGTAGTCTTGAACTCCTGGGCTCACATGATCCTTTCACCTAAGCCTCTCAATTAGCTAGTACTATAGATGTGAACTACCATGCACTGCTATTTTTTTTTGAGAGACAGGCTCTCCCTCTGTTGCCCAGGCTGGTCCTGAACTCCTGGGCTCAAGTGATTCTCCCACCTCAGCTTCCCAAAGTGCCATGATTACAGCTGTAAGCTACTGCACCCAGTTTGATTCTTAATAATATACACTTTTACTGTTATTAAGAAGCATAGATAAGTTTTTGTTAAATTGTAGGAAAGACTGATGGGAATAAAGGCAAATATATTTGATGTGTTAACTCTTTTTTTTTTTTGTTATTCTACTTATGCTGTATTTATAACTGTTACTTATCTGTCTCTCCTTATAGATTGATCTCCTTAATAGCAGAGATCAAGTTTCATTCATTATATTCTTTACTTTTTACAGTACTTTACATAGAGTAGACACTTATTTGAAAGGTATACATGATGGAAAGTGCTGTGAACCTGAGTGTATAGCTCATATCTTACTCAGCTTTGTTGTGTATAACTGGGTGAGTTGGGGCAAGTTTCTTGTCTTTCTTTGTCTCAATGCAGATAGTTATCTGTAAAATGAGAATTAAGCTAGATAGGCCTGCTACAATCCTTTCAGGTCTACATACTTGTAGTTTTAAGTAGGCTTATGTATAGGCTAGAAATGATTTTCATAGTTGTTACTTGTGTTTCATATTTATATAATGTTTTTAATTTGAAAAATATGTAAAGCATACAAATATATATACTTAAATAACTTGGTTATCTAGCTCAGAATTCAGCATTTATTCATTCAACAGTAATTTCAAATGTTCACTGTGTGTCAGTAATTACCACTGCTGTAATGCTGAAAGTGAAAGAATTTTTGAACATTACTATTCATTCAGTAAGACCCTAGAGTGATGGTTTCCAAATTGTACGTCCAAGAATCCTAAGATGTTAGGCATATTTGAAATTCTTTTGCCACAAACTCAATCAGCCTATTTTATTGTTCTGACTTTTTTTTAAAACATTGATGGGAATTGTGGGGAGTCTTCCTGTGTTGCTCAGGCTGGCCTCCGGAACTGAGCTCGAGTGATCCTCCCACCTCAGAATAGCTGGGATTATAGATGTGCGCCACTGCATCTGGCTAGTTGTTTTGATACTAAATTTAGTTTTATTAAAATGAATCACATTTGCTTTAAAAATCATGTTTTTAAAATACAGTGATATAGGCCAGGCACAATGGCCCATGCCTGTAATTCCAGCACTTTGGGAGGCTGATGCCAGAGGATCACTTCAGCCTAGGAGTTTGAGACCAGCCTGGCCAACAAAGTGAGACCCTGTCTCTACAACAAAATAAAAAGTTAGCCAGGCACGGTGAGGTGTCCCTGTGGTCCCGGCTGCACTGAAGGCTGAGGCAGGAGGATCGCTTGAACCCAGGAAGTCGAGGCTGCAGTGAGCCATGTTCATGCCACTGCACTGCAGCCTGAGGTGCAGAGCAAGAGCCTGTCTCAAAAACGACAGTAAAAAATCACCAAAATACAATGATACAGACAAAATATTTTAGGCCAACTTTAGTTACCAATTTAAAAATGTGTTGTTAAACCCATTACATTAAAGATGAAGGAAGATGTTAATCACCACCACCTCTCCTCCTCACATACCTTCTCTGAACTGGATCTTTTGAACAATATATTTAGGGAATTAAACTTGCAAGAAAATATGTAAAGAAATTAAAGGGTAATTTGTTACCTGACAAGATAAAAGTAGAAACATTTTAGAAACATTTTAGGGTGTACGGAATACAGTTGCATTATCATTACCAGTTGAGGTTTCAAAATGGATATTTACCTAAGCTGGACATCTGAGTTTTCTAATCCAGTGTGTATGGAAGGGGCCCAGGCATATGTATTTGGACAAAACTCAACGGGTATCTAACCATGGTTGTGCAGCAACATGCGTTGTCTTTAGGCTATTGAATTTCTCAGGAATCATTTGATTTTTGTGTTTCTGTAGGTTTTTCAATAAAATGGGCTTGACATTAACTCTCTGCCTACATAAGTTGGAATTGTGGGCTCTTTCCTTCATCTCTCTTCGTATTACTTATATACTTTTCTGATTTCAGGCTAAATTTATTGTGAAGAAATCAGAAGATGAAGAAGATGCCTCTAAAGATACTTATATTATTGAATGTCAAGGAATTGGGATGACAAATCCAAATCTATAGAGCATTCGCCTCTTAAATGATACCTCATTGATGTATTGCACTATTTCATAAGTACTATAAAATGTTGACTAAGAAGTAACTTATTAAAGGATCTGACTTAAATTTGAAGATGAAGTACAGTGTTCTAGGTTTGCTGAGAATGCTTCATCACATTAATCTCACTTTGAATATCTCCTGAGAGATGGACAATGAAATATCAGTTGGTGGATATGTGTGATAGGTGATTTCAATACTGAAGTATTGAAATAAAATATTCTTTACACCTGAAGGAAATATGTTTTTCTTTTTATGTAATAAATTAAGTCAGGGATATAGATTTGATCTGTAATTTGGGTATAATTTTAATCTCTGTTGAAATAACATCTAATGTATAATGAGGCAACTTTATGTTAATGTACTTGGTGTGTCAACAATAACTTTTTTTTTCTTTTCGAGATGGAGTCTCACTCTGTTGCCCAGGCTAGAGTGCCATGATTTCGGCTTACTGCAACCTCTGCCTCCTGGGTTCAAGTGATTCTCCTGTCTCAGCCTCCTGAGTAGCTGGGATTACAGACATGCGCCACCACACCCAGCTAATTTTTGTATTTTTAGTAGAGACGGGGTTTCACCATGTTGGTCAGGCTAGTCTCGACCTCCTGACCTCATGATACGCCTGTCTCGGCCTCCCAAAGTGCTGGGATTGCAGGCATGAGTCACTAGCCTGGCAGCAATAACATTTAGTAGGCATTGTCTCATTCTAATAATATATACCTTCTACCTAGCAGGTTCTTTGTAAATATTTATTGAATTTGAATCTGTTGAATATGTTTTGGAAGCCAAACAATTGAGAGAAGTAAAATTTTAACGCTAGTAGGTTTCGCAGATTCATCCCCAGATATGTTCTTGTTTGGCTTGTGGTATGAACAAATAACTGAGTGTTTTTCAAATGATGTGCTTTTATCATGCTCTGTTATCTTACACCCAACATGCTTCCACATTTAGATGTTTTCCTTTTCCTGGTAGCAGTTGAGTTTATGACTCAAAGAAAACCAGTTTGGTAAGTCAGCTCAGTTGTACTACAATATAGTGCAGAATTCATTAAAACTTGTACCTTTTCTTGTGATAATTAAAACATAGTCCAAGATGTAGATCCAGAGGATGCTATATAATACATTCAGAAAGTCCTGAATTAGTCCATATAGAAAATTAAAATGGAAAAAAGTTGCTCCATGTACATAGGCATTATTCTTATCCTTGTCCGTGATATCTATGACCTTGGACTGTTGGGTTCAATTTGCTTTAAAGATGATGATAGTGTTGCTTGCTGTTCATACTTTCACACAGTGGGTAAGTTTTATAAGCGATTCATTTCTTTAACAGTTGAGATATGAGATACATTTCTGTTTTAGAGTAAAACTTTTTTTGAGTAATACTAGTTGTTTGAGGGATTGTGATAAATTTGGGGGTCTTCAGACTGAAATGATTTCTGGGCTTCTGACAAGGTGTGCCAGCTGTATTAAAGAGGCAGGCTGGAGGGCAGAGATTCTGTGTCAGGGAGTGAGAGATTTAAGTTCAACATGTACACAGTGAGTTTATGATTAATAAGCTTGGGTATGTCACTGTTACTGAGTCTCAGCTTAGCTAAAACTAAGGTGGGAATATTGCAAGGAGTGACTTGAATTTCTATTTTCCCATAAACAAACTTCTATTCCTACATCTGTTCTTTATCTAAAATTCCACTTCAGTATATTTGTTTGTTTAGACTACCAAATGCAAGTAGTTCTGTTGAAGTGACACTCTGTAGAACAGTCTTTTAAGAATATTCTTTAAACCAGTGGCCTTCAAACAGCGGTATTCCTACCACTTGAGTTTTACAAAGCTTTTCCTTGAGTTTCAGATTTGCAGATGTCACTAGTCTTTAGAGAATTGGTTTCCAAATTTTGTTACTTAAATGAGTATTTTCTCCTAAAATTGAGTTGCTTAAAGTCAAGGTAGGGCTTTGAAGGTTCTTTTAAACTTCTTTTTCACAATTGCCACTCTTCCTTTTTTACAAAAGAAGTTTATTTTTTACCAATCTTAGTGCATTTTGCCAGAGTTATAAGAAAATCTCCAGGGTACCACATAAATGGACAATTTGAAATATTAGTCTCTGAAAAGCCCATTCAAACTAAGATATGAACCTGCATCTTATTTGTGTATTTTGCATGATTTTTAGTAAGGAGGAGAAAGCTTTGATATGAATGTTTATCTATTCAGTGTTTCAATAGATAAACATTACATCTTTAAATTTTGTTTTCTGATTACTAGGAGAACCTTTTTTTTTTTTTAATTGCCAAAAGGCTATTGGTATATTTAATTTTTTTTCTTTTAAACTTTGGGAGTTTACTGCTTAGTAAAAATTAGTACTTTTTTGCTCTCTATTCATCCCTACCATGTGCAGCGTGTTTTAGCTTCTATAATGTATCTTATATTATTGTGTGGTTTACACGATTATTAATACTTTTTTTTTTTGAGACTGAGTCTCAGCCTGTTGCCAGGCTGGAGTGCAGTGGTGCCACAATCTCGGCTCACTGCAACCTCTACCTCCTGGGTTCAAGCGATTCTGCCTCAGCCTCCTGAGTAGCTGGGACTATAAGCACACACCACCATGCCCAGCTATTTTTTTTGTATTTTTAGTAGAGACAGAGTTTCACCATGTTTGCTGGGATGGTCTCAATCTCCTGACCTCATGATCCGCCCATCTCGGCTTCCCAAGATGGGTGCTGGGATTACAGATGTGAACCACTGCACCTGGCCTTAATACATATTTTTTAAGTCCCACACTTCCTTGATAAACTTTTTGCTATGTGTTTCCATTGAACTCCATGTCATCCCAGCAATCAACAATATTTATGCATGATATATAATCTAATTTTTAAAGTATTAATCTCAACATATTTTAAATATTTATTTTTAGTGTTTAGTATTTCAAAATATATATTTGTTATACTCAGTTGTATAGTGATATTGTAACTGTCAGCACATTTTTTTAATTTTTAAGAATCCTCAGCTGGGCATCGTGGTTCAAGCCTGTAATCTCAGCACTTTGGGAGGCTGAGGTGGGCGGATCACCAGAGTTCAGGAGTTCGAGACCAGTCTGGCCAATATGGTCAAACCCTGTCTCTAGTAAAAATACAAAACTTAGCTGGGCATGGTGGCGCATGCCTGTAATCCCAGCTACTCGGGAGGCTGAGGCAGGGAGAATTGCTTGAAGCCGGGAGACAGAGGTTGCAATGAGCCATGATAGCACCACCGTACTTCAACCTGGGTGACATAGCGAGACTCCATCTCCAAAAAAAAGTCGGACGGGATGGTTTATGCCTGTAATGCCAGCACTTTGGGAAGCTGAGGCAGGTGGATCACTGAGATGAGGAGTTTGAGACCAGCCTGGCCAACATGATGAAACCCCGTCTGTACTAAAAATACAAAAATTAGCTGGTGTGGTGGTTGAAGCCCGCAATCCTGGGTACTCCGGAGGCTGAGGCAGGAGAATCACTTGTACCCAGGAGGCAGAGTTTGCAGTGAGCTGAGATTGTGCCTCTGCACTCCATCCTGGGTGACAGAGCAAGACTCTGTATCAAAACTGATAATTTTTAAACAATGCAAATTAATACATATTTTTATGGCAGAGAAATGTGACCAAAACAAACCTTTCAGCATAAGGATATACTAAGATAACTTTGTGGGTGAAAAAATTAGCTGGGTGACTCTGAAATTTTTTTAAAAAATACTTTTATGGGAGAAGCAGAATGTTTTCTTAAATTTGAGATAATAGATATCAAACAGCCATTCCAGTCAATACATTTGGGAGTGGTGTCATTATTATTATTACTATTTTTTTTGAGACAGAATTTTGATTTGTTGCCAGACTGATTGCATGGCATGAGTTCAAGGCTCACTGGAGCTCCAACTTCTGGGACTGGGGTGATTCTCCCACCTTAGCCTCCTGAGTAGCTGGGACTACAGGCGCATGCCACCATACCCCGCTAACTTTTTAGTTTTTTTGTGGAGACAGGGTTTCACAATGTTGGCCAGGCTGGTTTCAAACTCTTGTGTTCAAGCCACCCCCGCCTTGGCCTCTTGGAGTGCTGGGATTACAGGTGTGAGCTACTGTGCCCGGCCTAATTTTATTTTAAAATGGAAACGTAACATGGAAATTAGATCTTTTGCTATAACTGCCGAAACTTATGATGAAAAATTTATGTCAACTTAAAAGTGTATATGGATAATAGTATTTGTGTGTGTGTGTTTTTCTTAATGTGTATTGTTTTTAACTTCAAATTCCCTAACATCTAATTATGTGAGACCTCTCTTCACTAGTTTATTTGCTATCCATAAATCTCCTTTCTTTGGTGAAATGCATGTTCAAATTATTTGCCCATTTCAAAACTTGGGTTGTTTACTGTTGTGTTTATACATTTCTCTATATTCTGATACAAGTCCCTTGTCAAAAAAGTGATCTGCAAATATTTTCTCCCTCTCTGTGATTTGTTATTTACTTCTCTTAACAGTCTTTCACAGAGCAAATTTTAAGAAATGATGTAACTCAATTTATCAATTTTTTTCTTTTATGGATTATACTTTTGGTCTTATATCTAAGAATTCTTTGCCTAATCCAAAGTCACAAAGATTTTTCTCCTATGTATTTATCCAAAAGATTTATAGTTTTACATTTTATTTAGGTTATAATACATTTTGAGTTAGTCTTTACATAAAATATAAACTACAGAATGGGTTTCATTTTTTTGCATATAAAAGCTGAGTTAAATACTGTTGAATTGCCTCTGTACTTCTGCCAAAATCAATTGGCCATATTTGTATGGATCTACTTTTGCACTCCTCATTACATCCCATTATTTTATAGGCCTATTCTTTCAATAATACCATTTTGATTACTGTAGTAAGTCTTAAATCAGGTAGGGTGAGTCCTATACGTTTTTTCTTCTTTTAAAGGATAATAGTATTTAAAAATTCTTTTTAGGAGGTTTACGACCATAATATTTGATGACAACTGCATTCAATTGTAATGAGAAAATTAGAGTTGTTAATTCAATATTCTTTTTCTACATTTAACACAATGCTGTTCAATAGAATCTCTGCAGTGATGGAAATGTGCTATGTCTTCACTGTCCAATAAGGAACCCACTAGCCATATGTGGCTTTTGAGCCTTGAAAAGTGGCTAGTGTAACTGAGAATGAATTCTAATTTTATTTAATTTTAATTTAAATAGCCACATGTAACTAGTGGCT